TGAAGTACACAAGCTTTTATTTGTACATTTTACGAAGAAATACTAAATGTCCAAACATCCAAACAAAAATTACAAATTGGTCATTTTGGCCATTTTGGTAGTTCCAGTGTTAACATGAAGTATTTCTATTAACGACTAACCCTTATCAAAAGGCAACAGTACGACGCCACTGAATAAATACTGAGCACCTAAGTAATTTTCTAGCTCGTTACGCTTGGTGGCAGGGAGTCGCGAGGGTGCCAAGTATATATTCACGTCCTCGTCCTCTTCGCTATCCTGTAGCTAGCGTACACGGTGTCGGTGGCCGTTGGCACTTTAGGGGTGAGGTTCTTGCGCGTACAGTCCGCTTCGTTGATTCAGAAACCGTTGTTCTCGATTATTTATATATCGAATCCTCCATTGAATTTATCCTCTCAACCCTCTCAGACAGCTTCGACAGATAATTATGTTTTTTCTTTGCACACGCGTTTGTTAGAATTTCAAGTTATCCTAGTTATAGATCCAGCACAATAAATTGTGTCTTTCTTTTTTCATATGTTAAATGACCCAGTGGCCACAACTTGGCTTAATGATAGTATAATCATCAGATATTACTCGGTCAAATAGACTCTGAATCCACGGAGCGGAATATTATCACGTGTCGTTTAAGGACACCGAACGTGCAACCTCTGAATAATCTTGAAGGTATACGTGTCAGGTCATCGAATGGAATGGAGCAGTTATCATCGACTCGAGGACATCCACGGCTACCTCGATTACCTCGCTGAGACTTTCCCCGACGTTTGCTCTGTGGTCAGCATTGGTAATTCTGTTGAGGGCAGACCTCTTAAGGTATGATAAAAACGCTCGTTTAAATTGTGTATTTGGAACGAACGATTTGTTTAAAAATGATTACTCCTTTATCTTCGAGATAAGTAAGTGTAACTGTAAAAGTATAGTCCATGAACGAATCTCGAGTCGATGTTTTCAAATTAGAAAATTATGAGAAGACATCATGTACACGCAAGTACATAAGAAAATGGAGTTATTTCAGAGTTAAGGGAGAATATGTAGAAATAATCTATGACACTCAGGTTATAAGGATCAGCAACGGAAAAGCGAACGCGCCAGCGTTGTGGATCGACGGTGGGATCCACGCCCGCGAATGGATATCTCCGGCAGCGGTGACTTACATAATTAATCACTTGGTTGAAAATAGCGAGGACCTCGAGGCTGATTACTATATTCTTCCGGTGGCGAATCCTGATGGGTATATATTTTTACCTGTGCCGCAACGAACATCGTATTATCATCACGTATCATTTCGTAGGTACGAGTACACGTTCACGAGAGATCGTTTGTGGAGAAAGAACAGGAAACGGTCTGTCGGTAGCATGTGCATCGGAGTCGATCTCAACCGAAACTTTGGTTATCGATGGGGCGGCTTGGGAACTAGCAAGGACCCTTGCCGTGAAATATACGCTGGCTCGGGACCGTTCTCCGAACCGGAAACCAACGCCATTCGATACTTCTTCGAAGCTAGTGCTGCTAACTTTAAAGTCAGTTTAATTTTTATTGCATCGTAGTTAATTTTTATCGTTCTCTGACAATTCTTTACTCTAACGTTAATGGACATTTGA